AACATCAAAGTTTGGGTACGGCCCTCGGTGTTAAATCAAAAGTTCACTTTGACCCTCCGGCCGATTTTTATGCCCACCTCTGGTATAAAGTGAGAAGTCATGCAAGCATGATTAGAAACAATAGGCTAGGTGAGATGAGAATAAACTGTACGAACAAGGCCAAAACTAAATGAATAAAGATAATGTGTAATAAAATTCCTCTGACGGGATCGAACCTGCGACCTCTCGCTGTCAAGGCGAGTGTCATAACAATTAGACACAGCGGCTTCATGGTTGAACAGATTCAAGACCGTACAAAAAAACCGAATATCTGAATTCGGTTTTTTTTTTTTTTTTTTTTTTTTTTTTTTTTGTTACACTGAAGATGTCGTATTAAATACGAAGAAACATGTCTGGTTCTATTAAATGTATTTTTGTTGCTCTTAAATTCGTCTTTATACTACTTTCTGCTTGGAAGTTTGGCTGTATTGTACATGAGTTTACACAGACCAGTACGGTCACAAAGCAATATATACAGAATTTATGTAGCACACATCAGTTTCAGGATTAACTGCTTGAAGCGGTGTTCACTGGATACAGAATCAAATTAAGTTCTACAAGTAGCAGACAAGTAATATTAACTTTTGTTGGCCAGAATTTAATCTTCTGATAAATATTCACGTGGACCATACAATTGGCTGACAATCGATTTTTTTTTTTTGTAAATACGGTAGCAAAATCTGGATGGACCTTCCTGGAGTGCAAATCAAACTTAGGCCTAGTTCAGACTAGGTGGATAAACCCGGCTCAACTCACCGGGTTTATCCACCTGCCAGTCTGAACTAGGTGGCTTATCTCAAGCCGGGCTGTGTTCCTATAGTAACTAGGCCTGGCGCGCCACCGTGTTTAACCATAGAGAAAATAGAACAGGGTTTAACTTTTCTAAGCCGGGCTTGGGGGGGGGGGGGGGGTCTTGCATTGACTTCGGGTGACGAAATGACCAATCAGCTGTGAGTGCGAGCGTACGTTTCGCGAGCAATGTTTTGAAACACGTTTCCTTTGTTACTGTTCATTATTATGCAAATACTGTACTCGCCTGGCTAATCCCGCTAGTCTGAACGCCCGGCAAGGTTAAGCCGGGCTTATCTCCAAGTCTGAACGTAGCCTTATAACAGTACAGAGCCAGGAATACGCGCGTCTTACAAACACGTGTTGTCCCATCAAACGCACGTGTTTACATGCATTTACGATATTGTTTGATGCATGTTATTTTAATTACCTACGGTTTAATAAAAGAAAGTGGTCAAAATCGCCCGGCAGACGTTATAACGGTATATAAACCGATTGAATAATTGAAGATTGAAAATTTGCTAAAGACTTGACTGTAATAAACACTTACTTCTGGCAACACGAACACAACGACTGCTGCTCGGACCACTAGTATGCATGGATACCTATATTATTATATTTTAAGCCTTTATTTTTAATAAACGGCATTTCACAGGTGTTGAATAAAAAAATATTGAAATATCGTCAGCACATACATTGTAATATTATAATTTACCAATAATAATTTATATTTGCTCGCAAAATCTGCCCAATTAACGTCATGGATAATTTACCGGTGCTAAAGTATTTTATGAGAACTTGGACTATAATCAATAACTTATTTATACTATATTTGAATATGAAAGAGATCATTATTTGCTTAGCCTAACTCGAAAGGATATTTGTACAATGCCGTAGCTTCCTGATGAATATGTTATGGACAACATGTTCATGATGATTTAAATAGCATAGGCCAACATCATACAAATAGAATCGTCCTCCGTAGTGTGCTGTGCATCGATCGAATACTGCACTGGAAAGACGAGCTCAACGCTCGCAATGGATGGCGAATCACCTTCCTTTTCTCCAGGAACTGTAATTCATACTAAGTCATACTAAAGAATTGTGACTATAGACCTAGGTCTTAAACTATGGACTCGGAATATACAATACAGTAGTTTTAAACTATCCTAATAATCTTTTCTTGAGTTTTCTGTACTGGTACTGGTAGCCGTGTCATAAAAATTATGAACGACCTTCCCCTCAGAAAGTTTGGGGTTGGAGGGGGGCAACGTCGGGGATGCGCCTCGAAACATTTTTCGAAGATTGAATGTGTCACGTGCATCACAATGCACAGTCACTGTCATTGACGTCGCAGAGGACTGCCATATTATGTTTACCTCGATTTATTCAAATGTCACTTTCCAGGTAAGAAGAGTAAGGGACATTCGCCTGTTATAGGCCCGAATTATTAAACGGAAAACCGAGAATTGTAAAAAAAAAAAAAAAAAAAAAAAAAAAAAACATACAGTAGTTGGAAATCTCTCAAAACCATAACATTATAGG